CCCCGGGCACCCCCTCCCCCACCAGTTCCCGGGGACTTTGCTGTTCCATGGCCCCAAACCCAGCCAGGCCCCCCGAGGCCCCTCCCCGGGGGGTGGGGGTGCTGCTGTCCTCTCCCCGAGGAGCTGGGGGAGCTGGGGCCCTCCCAGGAGGGATGGTCCAGGCTGGAACACCCCGACCCCCCGCCGGGCGTGTTCAAAGGACAGCCCAAAGGCGGGGGGCTTCCTGAGCCCACTCCCCAAACCAGAGCAGACGCGATGCCTGGTCTATATGCAAATATAGTGTAATTCCCAGGTCTTAATTTAATTATATGTTTGGTCTGAAGCCATGAGGTGCCAACGGATGGGTCTGGATAGAATTGTTCCAGCTGGAAGGGACCTTTAAGGTCATCGAGTCCAGCCGTTCCCCTCACACTGGTAGGGCAGGGTGGGTGGCCCATGGCAGGGATTTGGTAGCCATGGGCTGACTTGCCCTGGGGGTGGTGGCCAGCCCCACTGCTGCAGGAGTGACTGTGCTCCCCTGTAGCTTGTTGCGTTTGAGAGAACACAGGGAAATGGCGGTTGGCTTTCAGCTGGCATCCGAGTCTTTGTGACAGCACCTGAGATCAACTCTTAGTTTCCAGTTGTGCTGAGCCCTCTGAATGCCCTGATGGAGCTGACACCCGAATTGGGCAAGTTTAAGCTATTTATAGCAGCTGCTGATAAGAGTCAAATTTGTTTTTCAGCTTCCTGATGGAGTCAATATTTCCAAAGAAGCTCGGAGCGCAATATCTCGAGCAGCAAGTGTGTTTGTGCTTTATGCAACATCCTGGTAAGAACTTGTTGCCTCAGGTAACTGGTGCAGTTGTTTTATAATTCACTGCTCTCCTGGAAGTTTTCTCCCAGTGTTTGTTTCAGCATTGTCTGTTTACGTAAATAAATCAATCTTTACCTGAAGAGAAATAACCCCCTGCACCAGGACAGGTTGGGGGTGACCTGCTGGAGAGCAGCTCTGAGGAGAAAGACCTGGCAGTCCTGGTGGACAACAGGATGGCCATGAGCCAGCAATGGGCCCTGGTGGCCAAGAAGGCCAATGGCATCCTGGGGGGCATCAGGAAGAGTGTGAGCAGCAGGTGGAGGGAGGTCATCCTGCCCCTCTGCTCTGCCCTGGGGAGGCCCCAGCTGGAGCACTGGGTCCAGTTCTGGGCTTCCCAGTTCAAGGAGGGCAGGGAACTGCTGGAGAGGGGACAGCAGAGGCTACAGAGATGATGAGGGGCCTGGAGCATCTCTCTGATGAGGAAAGGCTGAGGGACTTGGGTCTGGTTAGTCTGGAGAAGAGAAGGCTGAGGGGGGATCTGATCAACACCTATAAATACTTCAAGGGTGGGTGTCAGGAGGATGGGGCCAGGCTTTTTTCAGTGGTGCCCAGGGACAGGACAAGAGGAAACTGGGCACAAATTTGAACATGGGAAGTTCCATCTGAACACGAGGAGGAACTTCTTTGCTGTGAGGGTGGCAGAGCCCTGGCAGAGGCTGCCCAGGGAGGTGGTGGAGTCTCCTTCTCTGGAGACATTCAAACCCCCCTGGACATGTTCCTGTGGGACCTGCTCTGGGTGGCCCTGCTCTGGCAGGGGGTTGGACTAGATGATCTCCAGAGGTCCCTGCCAACCCCATAGCATTCTGTGATTTAATGCAGCCCAGACCGCAGCAGTTGGGTTTGGATGGTCCTTAACAATCCTTGGGAAGGCAGGTTGACTCCGCACACAGAGATGTCCCACCAGGGACAAGAGGGGTCTCAAACTGCCATTACCCTCAGGGTGTGGCTGCGGGGCTTCTCCCGGTGAGCCAAGAGCTGTGTGCTCACTCTCCGAGCTACTCGCCACGGCGCTCTGTGAGGGCAAGCGTGAGCCAACCTTGTCAGCCTTGGAGCTGGTCACAGGGGACACGGTGACACCTTTGGGTGGCTCAGAACGTGCTGTGTGCTCAGTGCTCACGCGGCTTTGTGGAAGTGTCACCTCCCAGCCAGTGTCCAGACTTTCTCCTTCCCCCTGGTTGGAGAAAAGGTCTGTGTGAGCAGAAAACTAACGTGGTGGGAGAGCGATGCAGGTCGGTGAAAGCACAAGCAGCCAATGGAAAGGAGAGAGTATTTTAAACTCCTTTTACTAAGCGATTAAAAACCTTCCAGTGTTTAGGAGATGGCTTGGGTTTTTTTTTTTGAAGTTGCTTGTGACCTTATCGCTCTGTACAAGTACCTGAAAGGAGGCTGTGGAGAGACGGGGGTCGGTCTCTTCTTCCAGGTTACAGATGTCAGGACAAGGGGTAATGGCTTCAAGTTGCGCCAGGGGAAGTTCAGGTTGGATATTAGGAAACATTTCTTTACTGAAAGGGTTATCAGGCATTGGAATGGGCTGCCCAGGGAGGGGGTGGAGTCACCATCCCTGGAGGGATTTAAGAAACGTGTAGACATGGTTCTTCAGGGCATGCTCTAGTGCCCAAGATTACTGGTTTGTGGTGGGGTGCTGTGTGGGTGGGTGATGGTTTTTGGTTTGGTGGTTGTTGTGTGTTTAGGTGGTGGGTGCTGGTTTGTGGGGGTTTTTTGTTTGTTTGTTTTTGTTTTTTTTGTTGTTGTTGTTGTTTGGACTCGATGATCTCTGAGGTCCCTTCCAACCACTACGATTCTGTGTGATTCTGTGTGACTTTAATAAATAAGAGTAAATTGATGACGGCGCCAATTAACTCTGTTTCCCTTCTTGGTTTTGACTAGTGCCAATAACTTTGCGATGAAGGGGAAGAGGAAGACGCTGAACGCCGGCGACGTTCTCTCTGCCATGGAGGAAATGGAGTTTCAGCGATTTGTAGCCCCTTTGAAAGAATCCCTGGAAGGTACCGTGCTCCGTCCGTGCCGGGGGAGTCTCAGCAGCACCGAGTCCTGTTTTCCTCCAACGCTGGACAAGCAACACTTACTTGCCTGTCTTGTTTCTCTTCTCTTTGCCCAGCATCCTACACTGCTGTTTGCCTGGGGAATAAATAATGTGCACCTTAACAGGACTAGGATGACATTATTTCACAACCGATGAGGATTGAGAAAGTCTCATCTGGTGTCACTCCCCTATTTATGTTTATCTAAGGAAAGCCTTAGGTGCTGCCTGTAAATGTGAACTCCTGCGTCCTTTTCAGCATTTTTTCTGCTGAAACTTAACCCGATTTCCTATGGGGCTGGTCAGCACAGCTCAAATCATGGGGTGAGTTGCTGCCACCAGTTCCCTGCTCCCCTTGGCATCCTGGAGAGCGAGAGGAGGTTGGGCTTCAGCTGCTGCACTGGTCACACTGGGGAAGCGCTGCCTGGCCATGCGTTCAGTGTCCTCTCTTCTTCTTTAGTTTACAGGCGTGAGCAGAAAGGAAAGAAAGAAGCAAGGAAAGATAAGGACAAGAAGGCGGACTCGGAGGAGCAAGATAAGAGCCGAGAGGAAGAGAATGACGACGACGATGAAAGGATGGAGGAAGAAGAGCAAAATGAGGAGGAAGAGGTGGACAACTGAACTTGCTGATGAGGCATGGGCAGGGGCTGGGGTTGTTCAGAGGGATATATGAGGAGGAGGTGGACAACTGAGCTTGCTGATGAGGCAGGGGCTGGGGTTGTTCAGAGGGATATAAATCTGTAAATTAACCTGGTTGTGTCCCCTCTTGTTTCCAGTAGAGCTTTGTACTGTTCTGCTGGGACAGCCCCTTTTGGGCTTTATTTTGTACATAATGGACTTTTGCTAAAGCTTTTCTGGAGGAAGGACTGTTCCTCCCCAGGTTCGGAAGGGGACTGCGTGGGACGGGACTTTTTATGCTGGGTTGGCTCTGAAATAGAGGGGAAAAAAGAAATGTCAGATGCTTGGTACAGAACTGTCCAGGAGAATTGAGAGACTGTTGAATAAGCTCCTTAAACCCAGTCGGGCTGAATCAAATGGGTCATTAACCCTTTGGGGTTTAGAATCTACAAGATGACGTCAGGAGGCTTGGAAGCCGAACATTTAAACTTTTTATCCAACTGACTTGGGTTGGTTTTTTTTTTTTCCTTCATTTTCTTGCATTCTGGCTGTGCCTTCTCTTCCTGCTGTCACTGTGACAGGGACCGGTTGCAGCGACACGGTGCGACTGTCCAGGGACCGGTGTCCACTCACCTGATTTCCTCCCCCAGATCAACCCAAATCAAAAAACCACAGCACTTAGGATGTAAACTAAATACCAAAAGTGCTTGGTTTGTGTCTTTTTAAAGCCCTGGGAGGCCAAGAGGAATTTTGTTGAAAATCTGAAGCAAATTTAATGGCTAAAACACGTATCAGGATGAAAAAAGGCAGCTGTGTCAGGCGGTAGGTTTGTTGCAGCTCAGCAGTGGGCACCGGTGGGTGGGATGCTCTCGGCTCCCTTCCCACAGAGTGCTGGATTTTGCTGGGATTTTTGGTGTGGTTTGGGGTTGTTTGTTATTTTTTCCCCCAACTGGAATGGACTAATTGCAAAGGTCCCTCTTGAGCCTCCCGCAGTCGTTCCAGAGGGTGGGAAAGGCTCCTGGAGAGCAGCGAGGACAGGACGTTCCTACCCAGGAAGGGCAGTCCCCAACCTCTGGTTTTTAAAATATCTCCTTAAGAAAGCTGGGTTGAAACAAGCTGTTTGCATTCCTAGTACTCAGATAGGTTTGTTCTTTTATACTTGAATTGTTAGTTTTGATGCCTTGCCTTTCTCTTCTCTGAGAAAGTATCTATTGGAATAAGCTCTTTTTTTGTTGGGGGGAAATGCTCTCTTATTTGGCTGATCTTTTTGAAGACTCATAAACACAGTATTAGAATTTAACCAAGGTCTGTCTGGTGAAGGAAACTTGAGGCAAGTTTTAGGTATGTTTAAGTAAAACCCACGAGTTTTGCTGATGTGCAGTTTTGAAATAGCACTTGTGAGGAATTGTGTGTCCTCTTCTCCAAGAACCCAATGCGGAGCTGCCCCGGGAGCTTCCCTGCCTTTGCTTTTACAGCACGATGGCTTTTCACACACACGGGCCCAGCTCCTGAAAAGAACTGAACCAACCAAAATTTTCCACCCTCTAGTTTCTGGTGGCGTGTGACGAGAAGACTTGAGTTGACGATGTCTTCCCGAGATCTCCCAATAACAAAAAAGTCCTGCCGTATAGCTCTTTTTCCTCTATTTCTTTTTTTTTTTCTTTGCTTCTTTTCCTCTTCTAGTCCATACCTGGGGTGCATATTCTGGAAGGGAACAATGTCTAAATAAAAGCTAATTTTTTTTACAGAAATGGAGTCTCTTCTTTCTGTCAGTAATAAACCGAGTTGGTGGTGGGGGCAGCCATGGCAGAGACAAACCTGCTGTGAGATTCCTTGTGGAGCAGCTGGCGGCCAAGGGAGGGAGGATGGAGGCTGCTGCCACCCGTCCTGCTGCAGGGGAGCCAGGAGACTGGGAAGATAAGGCCTCACCTTGAGTGCTGTGTCCAGTTTTGGGCCCCCTACCATAAAAAAGACATCGAGGTGCTGGAGCAGGTCCAGAGAAGGGCGACAAAGCTGGTGAGGGGTCTGGAGAATAAGTCTTATGAGGAGAGGCTGAGGGAGCTGGGGGTGTTCAGCCTGGAGAAGAGGAGGCTGAGGGGAGACCTTATTGCTCTCTCCAACTCCCTGAAAGGAGGGTGTAGAGAGGTGGGGGTCGGTCTCTTCTCTCAAGTCACAGGCGACAGGACGAGAGGAAATGGCCTCAAGTTGCCCCAGGGGAGGTTCAGGCTGGATATTAGGAAAAACTTTTTCACTGAAAGGGTTCTCAGGCATTGGAATGGGC